GCAGACCCTTGGTGGGCAGGCCCTCTCCGAGGCCCAGCGGCAGGCGCTCCAGCAGCTCGAGAGCGCCTTTGCCCCGCCGGCACCTGCAGAGCGTCCCGCGCTCCTGGAGGAGGGCATCCAGCGGGCGGCCGCAGCGGAGAGGGCTGCACGTCGGGAGCTGGAAAAGCGAGCCAAGCAGCTGGCCGACGCCAAGCTCTGGCTCGACGAGTGCCAGGCCCGCTCCGATGCCGCAGCTGACGCCCTGGTGGGTGCGGAGGTCAAGCTGGCCCAGGAGAAGAAGGCCTTGGCGGCTCCAGGCAAGGACTCCCAGCCCGAGGGGACCAACAAGGGCGGCGGGGTCATCAACCTCTCTGCCCTGCTGGGCGAAGGCGAGGCCAGCTTCGTCATCGAGGACGGCCCCCTCTTCGACCTTGAGGGGTTGGACATCACGGCCGAGCAGCGGGAGCAGTTCAACAAGCTCAAGCAGACCTTCGAGGCGTCGGTGCAGCAGGCGGTCCGCACGCACTTCGGGCCAGGGGCCGACGTCCTCAAGTCCCAGCGTGAGCAGTTTGAAGAGATCAGGGTGCTCCGCGAGACCTTCAAGAAGCGCAGGCGTGAGGCCCCCCCTGCGGCGGCGGCGGCTGCAGAGGCGCCCGCGCCCCAGACCCCCGAGGGGAGCCCGTCGCAGGCACCTGCCCAGGGCCATGCGCGAGGACCCTCCTGCGGAGGCGGCGGCTGCGGAGGCGCCAGCGGCCCAGAGCCCCGAGGGAGGCCCGCCGCAGGCGACAGCCCAGCCCTCCCAGGAGGCCCAGCAGGCCGCCCAGCCCGCCGCGGAGGCGCAGGGTGCCCAGGGCGCTCCGCCAGGTGCTGCCAGCGCTGATGTTGGCCCTGACGCTGGTGGTGAAGCCGCTGGCAAGGAGCTGGCGGAGGCCTTGCAGCGCGCCAGGGCTCGCAGGGCGGAGGCAGTGGCCGAGCCAGTGCCGCTGTAGCCCGCGCGGGCTCGGCAGCTCGGCCTTCACGGCCACAGGTACCAGTACTCAATGCTCTACATGGTCGGGCTCATGGCAGGAGTCCAGCACGGCGCAGGAGTCAGATCACGGCAGAGGGTCTCCTCCTGACGCAACATCCAGTACATCTATCTCTACATGGTCAAGTTCACATAAGATGAGCCACCCGCGTCGTCCAGGCAAGGGCCGCGCTCGCAATGTGGGGCTCGAGTTCATAGGCTTCAACTGCTCTTCCTGGGCGCAGGCTATCGATGTGCTGGACGAGGTCGCCACAAGGAAGATCGTGGGCCCCATGCACATCACGTTCCTTCAGGTGCATAAGTTGATTGCGCCCATCGTCAAGGACATAGAGGCGGCCAGCTTCAACAGGCATGCAGCAGCATTGGTTCCAGCCGTCAGCGGCCCAGGCGGACGACCGTCTAGTGGAGTTGGATTTCGTGTGCCAAGGAATGTTGTTCTTCCCCTCGAAGGCTTGAATACGTTTGATATCTCACCTGGCTCGGCTGGGCGCGTGGCAGTGGGCTGGTGCTCTGCTGGACAGAAGAGTGGCCTCATGATTACTACGGCATATTTGTGGACACGCGAAAGTTGGACGATTCAAAAGTTGTCAATGGAGGCCATCGCTACGGTCATCAAGCAGTATGACATACCGTGGATATACCAAGCATATTTCGACGAGATGGGAGAGTCTCGGCTCAAGACGTGGTGGTGCCAAGATGTGGGAGGAGCGGTGCGTCTCCCCTCCACTACCACGTGTGCAGGAGTCGGCGGTGGCAGTATCAACGATTTCTTTGTGCTCGACGCCCGCATCCAGCATGCGTTCGGTGACACGGTAGAAGTTTTAGACTCTGCAGCCGCGCCTCATTCGCCAATCCGTCCAGTCAAGCAGTTCAGGATGCGAGCAAAAGGCGGCTGGAGGCTTGCCAAGCCTAGACCTTTCCCAATCGAGAGGCCGTGCGGACCTGTCCCGCAGCCTGCGCAGTGGCCAGACTTCGATCATCAGTACGATTTAAAGGGCACCCAGCTTGATCAACTCTGGAAGCAGGACTCACACTGTGCTGAAGCATGGCGGTGGGTAGCCGCACGAGCCATTAATTTCCTCGCACAAGCTGCCCAGCATGAGGACACCTGGATGCATGCACGTGCGCGACGAGCAAAGCTCGAGCGCCGCATCGGAGGAGGAAGGAGTCGGCTGGTTCATGACCTGGGGGAGGAGGCTGAGCACGTAATCGCCCAGTTTGAACGATACCGCGCCCTTTGTCTCGGGGGCCCAGCGCACATTGAGCAGCCCCCAGAGACCGTGGGTCTCCAGCGTCGCGCTGGAGCCAATGCTCAGACCATCGAATGGCACCAGGCAGTCGCACGGCCAAAAGAATGGCGAGAACGTGCGAAGAAGGAGTTGACTGCAGGCTTTTCTTTCATCCACAGGATCAGCAAGTGGCGTACTCCTCCTCTCCCCGTTGAGGGTTACTCCGTTCCCAACCTCGAGCTTGCTGATCCTCAGGAAGCGGCCGACAGGGCCGCGCAAGAGTGGTTTGACGATTGGGGCTCCCAGTGGTGCCCAGCGTGTCAGCAGCAGCGCCAGGCTGCTAGTGAATCCTATCCTGATATCATCTACCGCGCCTCCTCCTCGTGCACCTCTTCCTGTCTCTTTTCCAGGGCTCTCGTGCCTCACCCACTGGGGGATCCCTTCCTGGACGTCGCGCCCAGCATGGGGACCCTGGACCCAGAGTACGGGGACGATCCCCTTCTCTCAGGCCTGGCCTACTTGGATGGGTCGGGGGTCGGGGCTTCTGGGTCGAAGTCGTTCGGAGGGGGCCTCTGTTTTGTCGACCGGCATGGAAGTATTCGCAAAGCAATCCATGGCACGGTCCCAGGAGTTAGGCAGGCACAAAGTGTGTTTAGAGCAGAATTGTATGGTTTCCTGAATGTTCTTCGGCATGTCGCTGCCCCTCTACAGGTGGGGATCGACAATTCTACCGTCGTTTGGGGCCTCATGCGAGGCCCAGTTTTGTGCCGCCCAGCCAGACGACCGCATACCGATTTAAGGCATAGAATTTGGAATGCGATTGAAGATTCGTTCGTTGGGGAGGGTGACCTCGTCGTCGTCAAAGTCGAAGCGCATTCCAAGAAGGCCCATGCCCAACAGCTCGAGGGACTCGAGCTGCGCAAGTACCTAGGGAATCAGAGCGCCGACCTTCAAGTGAAGGACGGCGCCAAGCTAGACGCCATCCCGCCGCGTAGCAGAGGCACGTGGGTGACCAGATTTAAGGAGGTTTGTGCTGTCTTCGGGCTTGTCGGAGATATGACCTGTAAGATAGGCACAATTGATGACACCGCGGGCCGTTGCCAGAGCGCCTCCCAGCCCCCTGGCCCTCGGCCGCGCCGTTCGGTTTTGCCTCCTCCCGAGTCCCGGCGCGTCCTGGAGGTGGACAGGGGGTCCTGGAGGTGTGCATGGTGTGCCAGACGGGCCCAATGCTACAAGGCCAAGCTGGTGCTGTCGCGTAAGTTTTGCAGGGAGGGTTTCTCCTCGCACGCCGAGTGGAAGAAGATAGCGAGTGTCGACGGGGCTCCTTGGGAGGGGCCAAGGCGACACATGCTGTCTCGAATTAGCCACCACACCTCTTGTCGAGAGTGCGGCGCCTGTTTGAGCGCCAGGGCTTGTGGGTTACTTACAGGTGGTCCTAAGGACCCGAGGGGCCACAAAGCCATGAATCGGCGTAATCGTTTGCTGGCAGGTAAGCATCCTTATAAGAATGACAGACTGCCTGGAGAGGTGGTCGCTTTGACCAGAACCCAGGAATTGGAGTTTCTGGAATCGATTGGGAATGCTGCCAGGGCCTCCGCCGCGGGAAGTGGCGCGGAGGCACAAATTTCCTCCGCCGCCTCAGGCGGCGCGGAGGACTAACCAGGCCTGACGCAGGTGGACGCGAGGTGCTCGCCCACGCTGTGCTCGCGGGAAAAAACCTCGTCCTCCTCCCCCTCCTCCTCCTCCTCCTCCTTCTCCTCCTCCTCCTCCTTCTCCTTCTCCCCCTCCCCCTCCCCCTCCTCCTCCTCCTCCTCCTCCTCCTCCTCCTCCTCCTTCTTCTCTTCCTCCTCCTCCTCCTCCTCCTCCTCCTCCTCCTCCTCCTCCTCCTCCTCCTCCTCCTCCTCCTCCCCCCTTTTCCTCCTCCTCCTCCTCCTCTCCACTCCTCCTCCACTCCTCCTGCTCCTCCTACTCATGTTTGTAGCGATCTTTAGCCCCCGACCGGCACTCGAAATGGATCGCGAACGATCGCAATCGATCCCAGAATCGGTTGCGACCGGTCGCCACCGATCGCGACCGATTTTGAAGCAAGTCGGTCGCGAACCAGACCGAACTTTGAAGCAACATCGATGGCGACGGATCTCGTCGGTCGCGACTTGGAAATTCCAGTATCCAATGATCAGGGGCACAGCATCGATGGTACCTGGTACATCATAGATTGCACCACGTATACTGCGCAACAAAGATTGCTACACATGGAGTGCCAACCGTTTTTATTGCTAGAATCACGCTGTTTCGGGGTGCACGCTGGCTAACGTTCATGATTTTCCATGTGTGTGTGTGTGTCGTATTTTGGCCCCTTCGGGTGGGGGCTCCAGGAGCATTCGAAACCCTATTGCAGCACTCGTCGGGCCCTTAGGATGTTTATGTCGGAAGGTATCTTGAACCCTTGTCGGCCAATTTGAGCCAGGCCATTTTGGAGCATCGTGCGCCCTTATGGAGCCATCTTGGGCGAACGGCGAGCTCTCTGACACCGAACCTCAGGGAGGGGAGGGGAAGGGTACCCCTCACCGAAGAGACGAGGGCTTTCGAAGAAGAAACACAGAGCTCATTAGACCACCTCCTCCAAAACGGGCTGGTGTGATTTGGCCTCCCGGAGCCCTCATGGGAAGGCTTCAGGGTCTTTCCCTGGGGCGTGTCGAGGGCCCCTGGGGGCCCTCTTAGAGCAATTTTTGCGTGTCCTGGACCGATCCTGTGGCAATTCGGGGCCCCCTCTCGGAGCGTCTTCGGGGCCTCCGGGGGCCCCCGCTGCCCGTCTTGAGGCACTCGTCGGTCAGGGTCGCGCGGGGAGGCGCGAAGAGGTCCCCGGGAGGCACGACGTGCGCCGCGCCGGGGCACGCCGGGGGCCCAAGGAGATGCGAGGGCCAGGGGTCTGGGCCCCTGTCTACAGGATCCTCACGATTGAGGACCGAGGTTGAAGTGTTGAGCAAGCGGCAGCCGCCGCCGGTCCTCGCATTAATTCAATTACGGGCTACGTGCTACCAGCACGGCCGACTGAGGCAAGGCCACGGGCTACGGCCCAGCACGCCCACCTCTTTTTCACCCCCAGCCCGGGGACACTCCACTTCGTGCCAGAGGGGTCAGGTGTCGGGGCCGCTTCTACAGAATCCTCACGACTGAGGGCTGGGGCTGTCAACCCTGGCACAAGGAAACGCAAAGCTCAAGCGCCAAGGAGCATAGCATCAAGTCGAGCCTGTCCCTCTACGGGAGGAAAATTTCAAAAAAAGTCCAACAATAGTCTGGGATCGATTTTTTGACCATTTTGGGGCACTTGGGGGGCGTGTTTGTTTTTTATTCTTCGTCCAAAATCCGCCCGACCTGAGCATAGCAGCAGCGCAGCGCGCCGTTCGCATTGAATTGCGCGGCGTTGCCGTTTGCTGACCGTCGAGCAGTTTCCGCTTGCAGTTCGCGCGTCGTTTGACGGTCCCATTGGTCTAAAGTTCCTCATGTGGGGGGCGGGGGTCGTTTTTCATGCGTTCAGTTGAGGGGTTCAGCAAGGGACGCTCCATTTCGTGCCACAGGGGCACGGTTGCGGATGTCGAGGCCCTCTGGAGGGGCCTCAGAATAGTCATTTGGTGCCCTCTTCTGGCCTTCTTGGGGCGCTCATGGGGCCGTCTGGTGGGCCTCTTGGGCCCCTCTAGCTGCTCTTTTGGGCCATCTCGGGGGTATCTTGAGGCCTCAGACGCCCATCGGACGCGAACCGGCGAGAGGGCCTAAGGCTTTGGACTCTAAGGCGGGATCCTTGGATCGCTTGGGGTACACTTGGAGCCGTGTTGTTTCCATCTTGGGGTCTTTGTGCAGGTATGTCGGAAGCTATATGCAATCATCTTGGGCGGGCAATCTTGAGCCATCTTGGATGCCTTATCTGAGCATCGGGCGCAATCTTGGAGCCATCTTGAGCGAAACAGGACTCCCTGATACCTCTTTCCCCTCCCTGACCCGTGGGAGGGGGTAGGGCGAGAGGTAAACCCGTCCCCGAAGGGGAAGAAAGGCGGTCGTGGACGAGGGAAGAACGAACTCCTTAGACCACCTACGCTAGAGGGCTGTTGACCATGAGCGGCGCGCGCAGTGCGAGCAAAGTTTGCTTCCCGATCCGCGTCGACTTGTGACTTTCGGACGGGATGCTATACAACAGAGACGCAGTGGGTATGTATCACATTTGGCTTCTCTAGGCCAGATGTTCATCCATATCCATTGCGCACCGGGTTTCTAGGGAAGAGAGCCTTAACATCCGAGACGCAATGGATATGGATTTACAGTTTTCCCGCGCACAGGGGGGGGTGCGAGGGGGGCTTCCTTAAAGGAGATCCGACGGTGCGGGAAAATGCATCCACGCAAAACATCACGACCAGGGGCCTAGACCCCGTCCTTCTGCATCACTTGTCGAGCTGGATCGATCAGTAACGGTCACAGGGCCCGGCACCGCGGGAAAACGCCAGGCGTAAGCAAACTTGCAACGCCTGGATCTCAGGATCACCCGCGCCCTTGGGCCTCGCGTGATGGGGGGGGCGATGACTGGGGGGGCAGCGAGGGCTGCAGAAGAAGGGGCCCTCTAGGGCCCTTAAAAGGGGCCCTTTGGGGCTCCAAAGGGGGCCGCCCAGGTCCGACAAGGGCGTCCTTTTTCCCCCTCGCGTATCGCCCCCCATTCAAGTGGAAACCCATGCCAAGAAATATCCTGCTTGACTCCGGGGTGCCCTGGGTTTCTTGGGTTTGATGGCTTTGTTGTGGAAAACGTGACGCTCCCACACCAGAAGTCAATGGGCGTCCTGGGGTCTCAGGGTTGGGTTTCTTGTGGGAGGGTTCTTGTGGTCGAACTGCTAGTGTAATTTGCGCCCAACGTCCAACGTCCAGCGATGGCTGTAGACAAGGAGCCCCTTAGGGCTCTTTTTGGGGCCCCAAAGGGGGCCGTTCGGGCCCGAAAAGCACTCCTCCTCTTCCTCCTCCTGTTCGTCCTCTTCACCTTGCCCAAACATGAAGAACAAGCGTAACCTCCTCCTCCTCCTCCTCCTCCTCCTCCTTGGCCTCCTCCTCCTCCCCCCCATGCATCGCCCCCCCTAGCGCCCAGCGCCCGGCCAACGTCCGCCAGGGCCGGGCCCGCCCGCCAGGGAGCCCCCCAGCGGGGCCGATGGCTGGGGCCCTGCGGAGGGGTGGCTACCTGGCGCTGGGCGCCGCCGGCGCCGCGGCCGCGGCTGGAGGCCCGCGCCGCGGCGGCGGCGGCAGCGAGCGCAGGCGGCTCGCCGTGCGCACGTGTGCACCTCAATCGATGAGCCTCGCCCTCGTCGTCCTTCTCCTCGCCCTGGCCTCCTCGCCCTCGTCGCCTTCCTCGCCCTTGTCCCCCCCACTTCTTCCTCCTCCTCCTCCTCGTACTCGTTCTCTTCCTCCTCCTCAGCCTCCCCGTCCTCGCCCTCGTGTTAGCCCAACGTGTGTTTGCCCCGTGGAGCCACTTGTCGTTTGCACTTTGCAGTGTGCGGCGTCTCGTGCACTGTGCCTTCGACCATGCTCGATCGCAGTTCGCACTTCCATCAGCTGCCCGCGCTTGAGGACCGTCTGCGCCGCGGAGTTAAAGGAGGATCCTCCGGACGTGTGTTAGCCCAATGTGTGCTTGTCCCGTTGAGCTCCGCCGATCGCATTTGTCGAAAAAAGAGAAAGCGGCATCAACATAAACTTTTGGCATTCCGCGTGGGTTTCTTGGATCGGCGCCTGGGTCCCCCTGTCGGCGTCTCCGGCGCCGCCCCTCGGGGAGTTGTCAGCGTTAATCCAAGAAATCTGCGCGGAACGCCACACGTTTATGTTTATGCAGTCTTCTTGTAGTGTTTGCCCCGTTGAGATCCGCCGGTAGCACTTTTCCTTCATCGGCCATCGTTACACCACTCGCGTCGTATGCCAGGGCTTCGGGACTGGCCTCGTTGGACAGGCACACGGTAGCGCTAGCTGGGCTTCGCCTACGCTTTTTGACAAGTCCTTCCCGACGGTCCAGCGTTCGTGGGGTGTCTGCAGCGGGAGCCTTCGTCACGTTTCGAATTTGATTGCGTCATTTTCATGCTGGCCCCGTCTTGCCAACACGCGTCCTCCTAATCCGAGTGTTTCGTATCCCCGATCCCTCCTAGAGCCCACTCCGATTCGATGAATCTGATTGGATATCGATTCCGGGCGGCCCGATCCGATTCGATGCTGAGGTTCTGGCGATGCCATGCGGCCCGATCTGTTTTTGTGGCGTGCTGCTGTGCCTCGGTGCGCGGCCGAGACGACCTGGATTCCGTGCCGATGCAGCCCGATCCGATGCGCATTTCGATTCGATCCGTTGCCTTGCGTGCGCCATTCCGCCGATCCTCAGCGTAGCCAGGACGTCCAGGGCGTTTGGTAGTGTGTGCTGGAGCTGGAGTGGCTGGGTGTATGTTTCTCACGCCCGCGACGGTGCAGGAGGAGGAGGAACAGGAGGAGGAGAAAGAGGAAGAGGAAGAGAAGGAGGAAGAGGAATAGGAGCATGATGAGGAACGGAGGGAGGTGGAGGAGGCGGAGGAGGGAGGGGAGGGAGGGCGGGCGGGCGGGCGGGCGGACGATCGGGCGGGCGGGCGGGCGGGAGGATGCAATAGAGGGAGGGAGGGACGGAAGAGGAGGAAGAAGACGAATAAGGAAACCACAATAAGACACATCATCGCAATATGGATAAAGCTGAACACAATCAGAAACAACATTAAGACGAATCTGAAGAATTCGAATACTCGTACTAACAAGAAGACTGATAGGACTGCGAATGCGAATAAAGCGATTAAGAGTATGAAGCATAAGTGTACTAACCATGCTGAAATAATAAGAAGAGTCGTAGTAACAATAATTCGGCGAACGCTACTGATAATACGAATAGTAAAACGACGGACTAGTACTGACAGCACTTATAACCACAGTAGTAATCCGCATATTACTTATATTGATAAGCATGATAATCATACCACTCATATCACCACACTCTTAATAACACGCCGAATATGTATACGACAGCGACGAATCATACCAGTACTCACCGCCCACCAAACCACCCCAACCCAACCCGAAGGCTCAGATTTACCCTCCATTTCTAGTGGGGGGGGGTGTCGGGAAACACCGAAAACACACATATGGAACCCTTACCCCCCCCCAAACCCGAAATTCGGGTCTTCGGGTTGGGTTGGGGTGGTTTGGTAGGTAGTCAAGTACGAATAATTCTACACATACGCAGGACTGTACGACGACGGTTAGGAAGACAGATCCGATGCATATTATCCATAACGGCAGTACCACTAGTATCATTGTTGCTGCTACTACTACTACTACTACTACTACTGCTAGTACTGACACTTATACTGGTCAGACTGGTAATCAAGATACCGATGATCAGAACATGCGATTAATGAAACTGATAATGTCATTAAGAAGCGTAATGACAAACATACTATCAGTACTACGACGAACAAGACCAAGCGTAGTCACGCTACTACTAATACGACCGATAATGCGACTGCGGCTAATACAAAAGGGACTGCTACTACCACATATACTCAGGTGACCGCAAATACTACTACTAAACTTCGTAATGATACGAGTGCTTGCGACGTAACTAGTAACACTAATATTATTCATAAGTGTATACATGAGCATCTTATTACATTCAATACGAACCACATTAAACATACGACGATACTTACTATGAATATTATTCTGATGGTATTACGAAGAATATATATATATATATATACGCGCCCGATCAATAGTAACAGTAATTTAACAAACTCAATAACAATCGTAATACTACGAATAAGACGACGAAAGTGACGAAGAAAGCAACTCCTACTAAGAGGAATACGAAGACGAGGAGGAGGAAGCAGAGGCGGAGGAGGAGGAGACGGAGACGGGGGTGGAGGCGGATGGGTCGGAGGAGGAGGAGGCGGATGAGGAGGAGGAAAAGGAGGAGAAGGAAGAGGAGCTGGAGGAGTGAGAAGATAAGGGGGGGGGAGTCGGAGGAGGAGAAGGAGGAGGAGGAGGAGGAGGACGAGGAGGACGAGGTGGACGAGTTGGAGGAGGAGGAGGAGGAGGATTTGGAGGAAGAGGAGGAATGGGAGGAGGAGGAGGAGGAAACGGAAGAGGACGCGGAGGAGGAGCACGAGGAGGAGGAAGACGAAGTCGAAAAGGACGATTAATAGTATTACTGCTGCGAATACCATTACCCATTACATGAAGAAAACGAATACGAATCAACAGACTAACAATGAGAAGCAATACCGGTACCACTAACAACAACAATACGCAAAGTACGAATCAGCTGAATAATGGTACTTCTAATGCTACGAGTGGGGATTCACAGCTAGATCGTAATAGTACCAGTCGCAGCACTACGAAGAATAAGCACACGACACATGATACCACTACTAAGGCTACGGTTGAGACAAACAGCAACAGCACTACGACGAATAAGAACCAACCTATCATTAACACGAAATAATACCATGTATGCGAAAAATAACAGTACGATTGTTAGAATGAATATGGAGAGCAGTAATCGTAACATTGATAATTATATTTGTCGGTCTATTCACAATACGAGTATCAAGACAACGAATGCTATAATAAAGAGAAGAACAATACGACTGACACTAGCAAATACAATATTCATGAGTAGCGCAATAAGCTGAATCATGCTTCGAATCATTATCTTACGAAGAAGACGTTTCCACGACTAATAGTAAGAAGACGGATGCGAATACTAAGAACCCGATTGCTAGTACGACGCCGAATATCAGTATTAAGACGGATGCGAACGATATTACGGCAATTGAAGATAAGAATGATACCGATGCGATTGCTACTAGGAAGAATATTACCAAACCGACCAACATGACAAACGCGTTCTACAGCGAATCATGAGAAATTTGATGCTCGTATGAGTAATGGTAATACTCCTAGAAAAATTAAGCATCGTACCACCACTGCTACGACTCCTGCTACTGCTACTGCTATTCCTATTACTATTAGTCATACGAGTCTACTACTACTACTACTACTACTACTACTACTACTACTCCTTCTTCTACTACTACTACTACTGTTACGACTACTACTACTACTACCACCATTACCATTACTACTACTACTACTACGAATACTACTACTACTACGACTACTACTACTACTACTACTACTACTACTACTACTACTACGGCTACTACTACTACTACTACTACTACTACTGCTATTACTATTACTACCGCTACTTCGATTACTACGACTACTCCTACTCCCACTACTACTACTACTACTACTATTACTACTACTACTACTACTACTACTACTACTACGACTACTACGACTACTACTACTACTACTACTTACTAACTACTACTACTACTACTACTACTACTACTACTACTACTACTACTACTACTACGACTACTACTACTACTACTACTACTACTACTACTACTACTACTACTACTACTACTACTACTACTACTACTACTACTACTACTACTACTACTACTGCTACTGCTACTGCTACTACTACTACTACTACTACTACTACTACTACATACTAAGAGGAGGAGGAGGAGGAGGAGGAGGAGGCGGAGGCGGAGGAGGCGGAGGAGGCGGAGGAGCAAGAGGAACAGAAGGAGCAGGAGGAGCAAGAGGGGCAGGAGGAGGTGGAGGCGCGGGATGAGGAGGAGAGGGAGGAGGGGGAGGAACATAATGAGCAGGAGGAGGAGGAAGAGGAGGAGGAGATGGAAGTGGTGGAGGAGGAGGAAGAGGAGGGGGGAATGACGCAGGAGGAGGAGGAGGAGGAGGAGGAGGAGGAGGAGGAGGAGGAGGGAGGATGGAGGAGGGAGGAGGAGGAGGATGGCGTTAGGGCGTTGGGGCCATAGACCCACGTGTCTCGCATCAAGCTGCCCAGCTGTTGACTAGCCGGCCTCCTCGGGCTCGTCGCCCCGGGCCTCAGGAGCTGAGCCTCTCGGTCGCGACCCTTCTCGGCGCGACAAGAGTCGGCCGCCTCGCGAGGGTCCACAGAGCCAGGCAGCTGTGCCACGCGGTGCGCAGCGAGGGCCCTCGGGGAGAGCTAACCCCTGTGCACGGCGAGGGGGCAGGCTCCCCTCCCGCAGCTCCGACAGCGGCTCGGGCAGCTCTCCGCGCGTCGGGGGAACATCGGCCCTCGAGTTCAGGGTGAAGGCCTCGCCTCAGTCGGGGCCTCTGAGTCTAGGCCTCCT